TTTGAATTGGCTTGGAGGCCTTCAGTCCAGAGGTTGTCCCTTGCAGCTGTCGAAGTCATTATGCCTTCGGATGGTTTGCAGGTTCTGGTAGACTGACCTTCTCGAACATTCGGCAAGGGCTCGCCTCCAGGACTTTTCAAGGGCGCGTCCAATACGGACGGTAGCTGGGCTCGCCAAGCCCGTCTGATAGCACTGACCCGAACTTGGTGAGCGGCGCGGCAACCTGCTGTGTGCTCACGGCCAAACGCATCTGCCGTGCCAGTCGTTGCAAATAAATCCTTGCATGCGCAGCATATAGGTGGGTGGGCTAGCGGGGAAATACCAGTTCAGCGGCGTTGGCATTGGACTCGTCTTCTTGGAGGTTTCGCTGTGTGTTACATGCCAATGTGACTGCTGAACTCACGGGAGGCTGATGCCCTTATCTGGGAGAATGTTCAGATACCTTTTGACACGGTGGAGCGGCTCCGAAGCAATGAGCAGGTTTTCGAGATCTTTGACAAAACCGCTTGGCGACAGGCAAGCGCTTCGTAAGTGCTTCCTCGATTGTCTTGAGTCATTGGTGCCATCTGAGGAGGCGGAAGTTGATGGGGCGTCTCCTTTGCGGTTTCGGGCTGCTGTTCTGGTCCCCGTTGATCGGCTTCATCAATGCGCCTCGAAGCGAGACAGAAGGGTGGCTGCCCGTTATGATCAAAAGCTTCTTTTTTTCGGAGAGTCCGTGGATGTGTTGCAGAGGTCATCTCTTCTGTCCAGACCTTGGAAATGAAGCTTCCCCCAGAGTGGTTCCGTTATCTTCAAGAGCATTTTTCGCTGGCGAGGGACTGAGCTTCCGGGCACACTCAGCAGGAAACAGATAGTTCTTGTGCTGATCGCATGGGACTCCTGGCCAAGGGATATAACCTGCTTGTGCGTGCCCTAGCAGAGTGTATCATGTATGACCTCTGCGACGTGCAACGGGGTCTGGCTTTGCTAAAGCAAGGTCAATTACCTGCCCGTCCTCGCTCTGATGGTGGTGCTCTTGATCTTGCCATGCGCTGCTCTGACTTCATAGCACTTCCCACCCTCCCCCGATGCTGAGAAGTGATCGGCGTGATCTCTGTGGCTAGACCAGGCTCTGGAGTTCATCTCTGTGTACATCGAAGCCACTCGGAGTCTAAGTCCGAGTCGCCCCCCACGCCGATCCCTTCCTGCTAAGGGGCGGAAGTCGATGATCGAGGTCTCGCTGTCGGTGTCAGGAAGGACTGGAGTGGCGATATCCATGGCTTCGTATCTTTGCCACGAGGTTTATGCGCGAAACATACTATGTTGAAACCGCACCCTCTCGTCAGACGATGTCATGAGATCATTCAGTCGCAATGGAATGTGAAACATTGTCCTTTTCATCAAGTGCCTGCATGTGAGAGGAGATTACAAGACGGTATCTGTCAAACATGGCCACTCTCGGTCTCGGTTTGTTGTGCGTCAGGGTCTTGACCGTGCCCTGCCAGTTTGCCGCAAGGAATTTCTGGTTTCAGTTTTTCTCTCTTTGGTTGACAGCACCTGGGCCGCAAGAGATTGTTTGCACATCCGTCGGCAAAGCATGATTCCAGTGAAGATCTTGCTTCCTTCACAGGTATTCAGCAGCTCGCTATCGTCCTCAGTGCAGCAGATCCTGGAACATCCAGCGTGTAGCTCTGAAAGCAGTAGACTGCTCCCACCTTCACGAGCCTCGCCAAGCCTTGGCGAGGGAAGTTCGTAGGCTTGAGAACAGTGAGGTATCGCTAGCATCTTGGGAAACTCCATCCCCCAAGTTTCCGTTGCGCGGCTGCAAAGAGAGCTGCAGCGTTAAGCATGCAAGGGCATCTGGGTGTGCGTGACCCACTCGTGCCGCCTTTCAGGTATACTTCACGACGTGGCCCAGTTGCAATTGAACACAGTAGGAGCATAGCCCGCTACGGTCCGAGCGATGTCGTTAATAAATCTGAAAGTTGTCACCTGAAGGGCCCAGAGCCGGGGGCTCTTCTGTGTCCTCGGAGCATCCAAGGTTTGTCATAGCGAGGCCAGGGAGCTGCGCGATGACTGATCTCGTGGGACATGGTGCTTTTGTGGTTCTTTGTCGAAAGGATCGGAATCAGCCTGCCTCTTCTCCTAGTTCGCGTGGATGTGTTGCTGGCACTGTTTGCGCCTCGGAATGCATCACGTTTTTGTGGCCTGTCCTCAGGGCACGGCAAACTGTTTTGGGGTGCTGCAGTCAAAACGCCAGGCAGGCCCAAGCTTTCGGACATGTCCCCTGCCAGCTGTACAGCAAGCCAAGCAGACTGGAGTCTTTTCTTTTTCAAAGCGCTCAGCCGAGAAACCGCAAAGCAGCTCCAAAGCCGGGCGCTCCAGCAGTGACACAGACGGGGAGGCGCAGGCCATTCCCACTGGGAGGTTTCAGAGTTGGAAGAGCGCGCTTCAGCGTCCATTTTCTTGGACATGGATTGAAGCACTGCGCCTGCCTAGCCAGAGTACCCGACTGCTGTGGCCCGGCAACAGCGAGCCAGGCTTCAGCGCTACTTAGACCCCCCAAAGCAACAAGACCTTGGCACAACTGAAATTACTTAGCAAATCTGACTGCATGGGTGGAGCCATTAATCTGTTCTCCAACAGACGTTTTCCCTGTTAGAGCCGCTGCATGGAGAACAAGCAAGACTTGAGGGTTTGCTTTGTCTGCAGGTGGATTCTGATTCCGAGGGAGAGGACCTGGCACGTGTGTCGAGTTCGGGGCATTGGATGTTTTTGGGAAGCAGCTACTTCGCAGATGGGGCTTCGACGTCATCCATCTCGAGCCTGTGCTGTGGTATCATGCTATTCCATGTTTCAAGCAAGTGTGCAAGGAGGAGAGAGCAGGTGAGGCTGAGGCACCGGCGCCGGTGTCTTGCTACTTCGCCTCCGAAGCAACCAGTCAGCAGGTTAAGCTACGTAGTAACAGTGAGTTGAGTTTGCTTGAGCACTGTAGGGCCTGCGGGTCCATTTGCCTAGCCGCCTAGCCTGACCTTCAATCCGTCTTTCTGATGGGGTGCCGGGACGACCCCTTGGACTTGCTGGTAGCTCCTTCAGCTGCGGCCTTCGACGGACTGGGGGTGCTCAGCCTCTCGAGCTGCATGTGCGCTTATTGGCAAAGCTTGCTTAGCTGCGTGTTGTGAGTTCCGAATTGAGGTGACCAACATCACAATAGTCTTCGTTCTCGCCCTGATGTACTGCGTGGTTGCTCCGCTCATGATGCCTGCTTGCACCTCGTCTGCTGCAACATGAGGGATCACTGGCTGAGTCATTCCATTTCAAGAGGGTGGCATACCACTGGAACGTGGTCGTGATAGAGCCGAGCAAGCAAGGCTTGATCTATTTCGGCGTGGCCTTCATGGTCTACAAGTGGCTCTTTGTTCAGGTTTACTCCAAGGAGCTAGACCTGATGGGTGAACTTTGGTGCTTTGGCAAGCAAGAAGTACTCTTGAACGTAGATCCCTTTCCTCCACGCATCCAGTCTGCAACTTCAGGTACTCTACTTTCTGGGGACTCATCGTGGGCCTGGCCTTCGGCGTCATTTCCTTGGCGGGTCTGGCCGCGGTCTATCGTGGGGCGAGGCCGCGAGCGGAGAAAAGTTGTCTTGCTGGGCATAATGTGGTCTTTCTTGCAACCTCCATGCCAAGCCGCGACATTTAGTCCTTGCCCGACATAACACTGGCATGCCAATCAGCCCCCACCGTAAGCCCCCCACATCCTAGACTTTTGGGGCAGATTCGGACAGGTGTCCTGAGTTCTGGGCGAGGAGCTCAGTTGGGCCTTGCCGGAGATCTGAGAGCTTAAAAACTATTGAGAAGGCCTTGTGGACGCTGGCCTTCATCATCGCCGCCTTCGCGCAGAACTGACACTGGGATTCCACAGGGGAAGACTAGGGCCCTAGTTAGTTTGGGTACATGAAGGTTGTAGGTTGGGTGGGGCCGGGCACAACCTTGCTCTTTCAAGGGAGTTTAAAGGCCAACTCAGACGCGGATCGTGCGGAGCGAAGCG